AAGATTGCTGTATCAGCCCCTCACTAAAATGCACTCATTATTCAAATAATAACTCTATGTCTCCAGCATGTGTTCTGTGAAATACGTGTACATGATGTGGGCGAATAAACCAGCCCCTTCTTTTCAACATGCAAATGCTAACTTTAGCCGTGAGTTGAAATACTTCAGATTTTGAGTCCTTTGCTACCCAAAATGAGGCACCTGAACAGAGATTTGGTCATTATTTTGGGCAGTGTGTTAAAATTTTCAGAAGTTCTTAAACACCGTTTTCAAGACTGATTTCATTTAGAAGTTTAAGTCCTGTGATAAGTCTCATTTCGAAGATGGGATGTGGACAGTAGTGGTCAGTAGGATGTTTTGGAAACTTGTCTTCATGAATGCTGAAGCCCGCTGGAATCAAGTGGGAGGAACAGCAGGTCCGTGGCATTGCGGGGCCTCACACTACTTGTTTTGGAGGGGACAAATATGGGTCAGAAATCACAAATGCCAGAAATATACCAAGAAAATCAGGTCTCTGAAGTAAAGTTTTGTTTCTTCTAGCTGTCAGGAGATGAATTTATAATTTTATGTTTCTCCTGTCATCTCATATATCTTTAAGTAATTCCTACAGAAGAAGGAACCAGCAAGGAACATACTTCTTACACTGCTGTGGGTGTTTGCTATGTCATTAACACTTGGAGGAGAACCACCATCTTGAAATCCTGTCCAGGCAGGTTTAAAAGTAAGGCTGAAAGAAGAAAGTTATTTCATTTAATTAAATACTAGACAAAAATCCATCCATGTTCTTCCTTCCTCTTTCTCGGTTTGTAAATAATGATGACAGTACTTATTTTGGAAAAAGTATTTGCATTTCATCTTCTGGGGCACTTGCATGTTTATGGAAGTGGACATTCCAAAATTATTCTATATACTGGATGTGTCCTGATCACTTTCTCTTGTGAGCAATAAAGCTGGACTGAAATTCATGCTTATGAAGTGAAAGAGAGTAGAAAAGGTTCAGGATAAACAGGATCATTTTAGGTTGAGAGCAAGAGGCTCCAGTATATTTTGAGAAGAGAACATCACATAGACAAAATGTTAAGTACCTGTTTATGTGTTTTATTCGCAACTCATGGGCTCTGACATTACTCATTATTCTGCCTTTTCTAGTGTCATAAAAACCTTGGATAACTTTAAAAAAAAAAGAAGATAAGAGCTTGGTTTCTTTTCAGGTTGCTAATGTGTTCTGTACAGTGTGGGTATTGCTGGGGGTCTGATGCTGGGCGATATTAACCCTGAAGCTCCTGCAGAAGTCGTAGGTATCTCTTGTGCAGTTTTCAGGATAAGAGATGCAATGCTGGATTTCAGGACAATGTTCTCTTTCTGCTGTCAATGCTAGTTAAAAAAGCCAGATCAACATAAAAGAGAGCTAAAGGATCCAAGCCTGACCTAGGTCATTTGGTACTGAATGGGGGAATACAGCAATGAGGTGTAATTTGAGCAGCCTTTTTCCCCTCTGTGCTGGGTAATGGCTTCTACTAGTTTAATGTATTCAAAGTAATAAAAGTTTAACTCAGACAGTTATATAAAATTATTGATAAAAATTGGAAGAGTTTAGACAGGAATAACGAGTTAGTCCAAAAAGCAGAAAATGCCTGCTGAAAGCAGCATCTGATGAACAAGAGAGACTAGGACTGGAAATTAATTGAGGAAAAGGGATGCGATAGTAATTAGGTAGTGAAAACAGCAAGAGGGGACTGGGTCCCTCTCCTTATCCCTTCTTGAGGCCGTTCTTTGCCACTGGTGCCGAGAGGACAAGTGAACAGGAAAGGACAAACTCTGCCACCGCGGTGAGTCATTTCACGTTCATCGCCTGGTCCCTGGAGCTATCCTGAGAGGCTGTGTCAAAGGGAATGGTCTTGGTAACCTCCTCGCCTGTGAGATTTGCACATAGTGCTGAAAAGTATGTAGAACATGAGGTTGTATTTCTCCTATTACTGCCTTCCTGTTGCTTGTTTTCCTCATTCGGTTTTGCCGCTTCTTTCTCTTTTCTCTGCTTTCTGTCTTGACTGCATCATGCGCAGAATTGCAGGGAAGGTCCAGCTGGAGGAGCAGGTAGTGGCAATGTCTGACGCAGCGTTACGCTGGTACGAGTGTGCCAGGTCTGACCAGAGGCTGGTGACATCATGTTCTGCTTGCATTGTCCAGCAGGTGAAACTGCAAGTAAGAGGAAGGTTTTATCAACAGATTCTTTATTTTTTGCTCTTTTTTTGCTGTTCTCTTCATTCTTGTTTCATGAAGACCTATTTGCCTGCACTGTGTTGCCTTTGGAAAAGCAGAATTGGATCCCAACAATAAGCCACTCCATCTTATCTCAACTAACTTTCTTTTTGCCCTGGAAAAGACATAAATAACATAAATAACATTTTCAGTATCTTCTGTGAGATTGGCAGGCAGGGATGTTTTCCTCACTGAAACCCTAACAATTAAAGGAAACCAGCATATTTTGAATGAAATATTTAATACCTTAATTGTTTTACTCTCTTTTTTTCAAAAACGGTTAGCGAGGTTTTACTGACAATAATTTGCTGTGGCACAAAGTCGTGTCTTGGCCTGAACTTGAAACTCTCCGGTAGTTTTAATCCTAGTTCTGGGAAGCAGGTCCGTGCCAACATTTAACGCTCAAGCCAGTTTCATCTGTAAACATATCACTGTGCCCTCCTCTCCCTTCTCACCTCATACACATCAGATTTTCAGTCCAGGTAGTTTTGGCGCTTGAAAATTGGGAGGATGCAGAAATGACATAAAATGCCCTTACAGTCCCTGTGCCCTTCCCTCCTCATTCTCTTTCAACGGCTTATTCTTAGAAACCCAGCAGAATCTCATCACACCGCGACTGAGCGTACCTGGCACTAATTTGTCACCACTGTATATCAGGCGAGACCTGCGCTGATACTTTTCACGGCAGCATTCACTTGAGCATGTGTGCGTTCACTCTCCCGTCTCCTTTTCCCATTACACACTCCATTTTTTTCCTTTCTAAGCAGCCAACACAAGAAACCCCAGATCACAACAACAGATTACTCGCCCACCCGCTCTGCCCCCCCTTCTCCCCCGAGAAGGCGGCCGTGATTTATCTGCTCATGTCGGTGAACAGGTGGCAGTCGGGCTCAAGGCTGAGCCCGCTTAGCCTATGATAAATAACATATTTACCGGCCCTTCCATCTTCAAATGCTGTCCACATGCAGTCCAGAAAGCAGCACAAAACTCTTAATAGCAAACACACCCGGGCTTCAGCAGACGTGGGAAAAGGGAGATATAATGAATGTTTTCCTGCTAGAAGTAGGTTGGAATTGAAGCCTGCTCCTCGTCCTGGTACCTTTTATTCACATTCCTGGAATTATCTGGCATGCTTGCTTTATCCCCAGCCATCTGTGATGGGTTGAGCTGGGAGAGATAAGCTCAGTAATCAGAAAATTGAGGGAAGCATTTCTGGCTGTGATAATCTTATCAGGTAGCTAATATACATTAACATTTGTACAGCCTGATGATGCAGGTGGGCCTTTGCTTATTTTTCCTTCCTGGATGCCTTTTGACAGGCAGGGGGAGAATGCAGGGCTTTGGGGTGCCAGGGGGAAACTTGGCGAAAACCTCTTTTCTACCCTTGCTCTTCTGCTCCATCCCTGTGGTATCAGAAAGGGGAGGGAGAATAATCCAACCATCCCTTTTCTGCCCTTTCCTGCTAACAGTGCTGCCATGGTCTGTCTGTCTTTTCTGGTAAGCATGGAAGGCCAAAGAGGCAATATGTCAAAATTTCAGTTTGGGCTGAGCAATATAACTGCACATGTCAATATGCTCTTCTTCCTTGTAAAATTGGGGAGTTTCTGCCAGCTTGCTGTCTTTGCAAGAAGTTTGCCGTTGCAATATGATTTTTCTCTACGAGTCTAATCTGTGCTATTGAATGGAATATGTTGTATTAATGGATTATTTCCCTGATGCTGAGCTCTCTGTGGTCATAAGTTTTGCATCTATAATTAGGGCTGGATTGCTTATTGTTTTCCTACTGAGTGAAAAATATAGTTTCTGTCAATAGATTTATTAGGGGAATTAGTTGCCAGGTGGTAAAAGACAGGTGACAAAAGGAAATCCAGAATCTCAAGGAGGAGTGTAAAGGAGGTCTTAGCTGGGAGAAGGTACGGGTACAGAAGTTTGAGTATTCTCTAGGTAGTTTGTCTCTGGTTACAGTTCATAATAAATCATTTTCTGAGGGGTTTTGAAACAAGTTACATAGGTAGTTTATCAGTCTAAGCATTGTCTTCATAGCTGAATTAGGGATACAGATTCCAGTAAGTCAGGGAGCCTGGGAACGGTAGAGTCTGGGTAAGAAGTTTTCATGTCTGTAGAGTTTTGAAGTACTTTCTTGTGAGTTCCTTTCCAAACAAGGCCAGATGCAGAAAGTATTCTTAATTGTTTGTTTGTTCCACCAGAGCTACCTGAGCAGCTACTTGAGCTAGAATTGTATATTGGAAAGTGCTGGAAATATTCCCCAGTCTTCTGGATTCAGTGTATGTGTCTGAGAGTTGTCCTGAACAAGGCAGCATAATCCCGTGGTTCATTTCTTCTGGGGAGGAATTGAAGCTAAATGAGGTTGAATTGTCAATACTGAATCTCAGGTGCCAGTGTGCTCCTAATACCACACAGATAATTCTCTGCATCCCGTTATCCGTGGGGGACAGGTAGGGGAAATACCTGGAAGAGAAGCAGAAGCTTTGCTTAGAAACGATCAACTTTCTGTGTGTCATCTCCCGTGGAGAAAATGTTGGGAAAGGCAAAAGGGATTGCAAAGGGAAGGAGGGTTAACAGAGGTTTTGACATTCAACACATGAAGAGTTGTGCTTCATGTCCATATCCTGAGAAAGGTCTCATCTGGGCAGAATATCAAGATTTTTTCCTCCTCCCTTTGCTGTTCATGTGTGCCCCTTATTAGTGCTGGAGGAACTAATGCCTTTTCTCTTCTGCAGCTGGAGGTGGAGATGAAGGTCCTGAAGTCTCAAGAGTGTACAGCTGAGCAAAGTACTGTCATCACCAAGGAGGAGGTTGACACGCTCAGGTAGGCAAAGCAAGGAGAAGGCTGAGAAGATTCTACTATTTTCGGTGGAACTAATGAGAAGGGAAATGCGCGGGGCAGTTTCACTGCGTGCTGTGGTTATTGCCATCTCATGGTAGAGCACCAGGTACAGGACCTCACCATGCCACAATGCCTGAAAAAGTATATGCGTATAGACTGCCTATGTACATAGGCTGCCTGCTATTCAGGGAACAGCACGGTAGCATCGATAGAACCTATTTTCCTTGTATTTTTGAAGTAGGATGTTCTTTTCCTGAGCATACTTTTTACTTTCCCGCCAGCTTTTATGGACATGAGAAGTCCATGAAGCATTAGCAGAAAGCCTCAGCCCCTGATCTTTCCTGCATTTCCATACTTTGTAAGCTTTTCTGTCTTTTGGGAGGCTGGAGGCTCTTTTCCTTTAATGTTTGGGGTCTCTTGCTCTCAGTTAATTCATAAAACTGGCTCCTGCGTCACTATTCCCCCTGTGGACTTTCTTTCCTGTGGAAACAGCATTGCTGTTTGTTTCTTATTTTGACCAAATCTCGACTGTAAATACAGGATCTGTTGGCATGTGTGTGAAGAGGTTTAGAATCCAGCTTTTCTGATACTGATGTGTGTGTAGCACTGAAGATAAAAGAGGGATGTTTCCCCTTGTGCATTGCTGCAGATGGCAGAGGGGTACCTGTTGTGATTCAGTGAAAGAGAAGTTACAAAACAGCGTTTCGGCAGAGGATACATGAGCATTTACAAAAGCTACAGTGAAGGCAGACAACTGTTCCATGTATTTATTAAAGCATTTACAGCTTCCATTCCAAAGCAGGGGACACAGTAAATACTGAGCCCAGAAAAGTTCATCTGTTTCTGAATGTTTAATAAAGTTCCTTTTATTTAAGCTGAGCAAATCAGATCTTGACAGGCTGAGTTTATTCTCAGCTAATGTAACACTTTGGCTGGAGTTTCACTTCTTAATTCTTTTATATTTTCAGCTCCATCGCTATAAAGCGTTACTGCCTCATAGGACTGAAAGCAAGATTTTGCAGCAAGCAGAATCTTGCAGAAAGCAGAAATTACTGGCCTGTACGTTATGACTTTGCTCTTGTGCTTTGCCTCTGGAGCTTGTTTTACGGCTTTGAAAGCCCAGTTCCATAGCAGCGGGGAGGTGTTTGAAAATAACACATGTTCAGCTAAGCTCTTCCAATACGTTTTAGGGCTGTACACCTAATCTTAGGGACTCACTTCTATAGTTCCCTCAAGGTGGTATAATAGTTCCGGAGACCCAAGGCATACATCTCCCTTTTTTTATTCTATCATATGTTTGAGTTCTGGTAAAGGATAGTATGCTATGGCTTCCCTTTTTCAGGGGGATAAACCTGTCTCCATCTGCTTTTGTGTATTGTGGATGTTTGTTTGACCTGAGCTCATTCAGGTTTTTCCTTTGCTAGGGTGCACTAGACCCTCTGAAACCTGATGTTTGTACTGCTGTGGAAGTATTCAGCATCTCCTCAGCAACATTAAACCCGTCACTCCTGATTAATAATATGCCCTTATATCAGTAAAGCCAGAATCCTGTTTGCTGCCTTCTGGGACCTGAAGGTTTTCAGAGTATTTCTACAGTACCTCCTCAGTCTCTCCCTCCCAGGGTTGGTATGGGCTGCAGCACCCTTTCATGTAGGAGATGTTCAGTCTCTTTATTTTCACCTCCAAGACTCATTATTCGGTGTTTATCTTCACTGAACAGCATTTGCCATCTATTAACTGAGCAGCTTCAGGGACAGCGTGTGTAGGGGGAGACAGCTGGATTGCTACATAGCCCAGGACCACTTCATATTGCACAAGGCTCTTGGCAGTGGGGATAGAGATGTCTGGCTTCACCCTGGATTAAAATCTATTTTCTGGGCAGGGACAAGTGGAGCTCACAAGTACCTGCTTGTTAAACAGGATTGTGGTGTTTGGTTCGGCTCGGCTCAAAGGTAGCCCTAAACTCCCCTAGGTAATGTTTTTCTCTGTTTTTAAAGAATTTCTTTGATTACTAACCTAATCTCTCTCCTCCTTTCATGAAATTGCGTCAAACCTTTCACACAAAGTATGACAGAAACACAAGCCTATTCCCAGTAAAGCCGTTGATGGTGCAGAGCTACTCTCCAGTGATGAAACGTACACTGAAAGCTGTTTCAGCAAAGAGGCTTTTGCAGTTGTTTCACGGTGATATTTTGTCTTTTCTTCTCTTTCCCATTTCAGTACCCCATGCTCCTGAGGCTATGGATGCATAGAGGCCAACAGTCCCAGGATCTAATTCCAGGCTGTTTCTTCTGTCGCTTTTTACTGAACCACTTTTTGTTGTTATGGCTGATTTAAGTACTTGTCCCAGACCCCGATGCTAGTTGTTTAGCTACAAAGCTGTTCCAAAAAGCATGGATTTGTTTGATTTTAATCACCCTTTTCACTGCTCAGCTCTAACAGTAAATGGCTTGGTGCAAAGTGTTCTCTTTCTGCTGGAGCTCTCTTTGCTGCAGAACTGGTAAGCCAGTCCCTGCTCCTTTTTCCTCACTGTTGACTACTATTACTGCTTCAGGTGTCTTCTCAGACTCTCAAGCACTCCATTCAGTATTGCAGAATCGACTCCATAATGATTTTTTTCTTATGCTTCTAGACGTAAGCCATCAAAGGATATGGTTGGGCCTTATTTTGTGTTTTCTGGCACCTTCTGTGCGTTAGACAAGAAACTGGACCAAGTTCTTTCTTCATAGAGGAAGCTCCTTCTCAAAGTAGCACAAGATAAATCACTATCTTCCCCCAGGCTTTTGGGGTTCAGGAATAATGTGCTGTCGTTCACGCCAGAGCAATCCTCGTGGCTCAGCTGGCTGTGTCCTCTCTGTACAGCAGAGGTGAATGGGGTAGCTGTGATTAAAGAACAGAAGGGGTTTGGAGGAAAACAGAGATTCATATGGGAGGGGAATAGGTCTGCTGTGCTCGTCATCCTCCTGTGTCCTTTGTGCGCCTCAACAGGACTGGTTTGCTCAATTTTATGTAGCTGCTAAGGAGGAGCGAGCAACGTGAGCTCCACTGTTATTCCTTCCTTTTATAGACTGCTGCCAGAAATTATTTCTGGCAGAAAACAGGGGGAAGAATGCAAACTTTCAAATTGGAAAGTGGGGAAAGAAATGCCACAGCTTATGAGGGAGTTATTTCCATTTCTGTAGTTTATTGTGGTCTTTGAAATCCCATTAACCTACAGTACAAATGCGTCTGGTCTTCTGGACTGAGCCCAGCCTCTCCAGTTAGCTGCTGTCATGAAGGAATGTGAAAAATAGGGGAAAACCAGCAGAAGCCAGCGAGGGGAGTCTGCAGAGCAGGAATGGACTGTGAGCCTCCAGGCATTTCCATATACACCCCATGGTTAGAAGCTAACTTCTGAAAACAAAAGCAGGAGAGACATAAAGGAGAAAAAAAATCCATATTAATCCCTTGAATCTGTATTCACCTCTTGTGAATGAATGAGAGCTTTTAAAAATGTATCTTTTGCTTCATTTTTCTTGAGCATGGAAAGTAAATTTTCAGTGAGAAACTAGAAAGACTTTATCAGTTTTTCCTCCTTCTCTTGAGAACAAAGTGCTCTTTCGTCAGACCTTTTATAACTTCAAATGTGAAACTCTCTCCCAGCATCATCGTTTCTGAAGAGACAATAAAAGGCAGTGCTAATGCTGTCATTTCTCACACTTCTTGCTGCTTCCTCTGAAATCATTTTTGTTTATATTCTGCAGATCTTATGAGAAGAAAAAGCGGTCAAACTGTTGAGTTCATGCACTGTGGGGTGTAGCAAAGCAGAGAGCATTTAGGCATTAGCACCTTTTAGAGGGAAGGTGGTAACTGCAGAAACTAATATTTCAGAACCTATAAATAAAAGTAATATATTTAAAAAGAACTTCACTAAAGACTTAAGTGGCAATGGCTGAAGGACCTTTTCAGCTGGAACAAATCTGAACTTTTTCCTTCTGCTGTCAAACTGCAACCCCAGTAAATCCTAAATGTTTTCTGTGGATTTAGTGACTGGGTAGAGTTACAGTAATTCAAAAGAAATTCATGTCCTTGCCAATGCCTATTAGTCACACTTGCTGGAATTCTGTCTGCTCTGCTCCTAACACCATCTCAATGCCATCTGGATCCCTTAATAGCATCTTCCCAACACATACATTTTCTGCTCCATTCAATAGTTTCCTGTTCAGCAATAGCTTTTCCACATGGCCATGTCCTCTTCGCAGATGGGGCCTCTGCGAGACATGTCCTCGTTGGCGATATCCGTGCTGCTCTACAGGCAATCACATAACACATCCAGGAACACTAAAAACAAATAAAAGAAAGGTAAAGGGGTGATGGTGGGGAGTTGTCACTGGTTAACTCCAGTGCAAAGCTCTCGACCAAGAGAGACTTTTGGAAGTGCCTAGATGCTGTTGAAAATCAAACAGATTCCCCCCGTCTTCCTTTCTAAAATAGGAGCAGCCTGGCCTTTGTCTCTAGCAGCTGTTGCTCACCATCTAAGCATTTTTTAGATAGACCGAATGCATATGGTGGGATGTCTCCTGATTCTCACAAGTGTCATTTCAGGAGACCTGAGGCTCTAGGGTTTTTGTGATTATTTTTTCCTTATTCCCCCTTCTAATTTGGAACAGTGAAACATGCAATGGAGGCAATATAAAGCTCAGGTTTTAAAAGTGGGAAAATCCACAAGTCAGAGCAAATGGCAGTGAATCTGTATTCTTGCACTAAGTTTGATCTTGTGAAAGGCTGCGGAGGTGGTTTGAATTTACCGTGTGCCTGTGGAGCCTTCAACTCTGGGTTAAGCTGTCTGCATGTGAGTGGGAAAAGTCTTCCAGAAATGCGAAGAGATCTTTGCCAGAGTTTAAATATTTTCATGTTTTCAAACCTCTGTATAGAGAAGTTGGTAAATTTTCCAGAAATTAATCCAAATGATTTTTCCCTGTATCACGAAACTTGAGAATGGTGTCAGTATTTCAGAAAGTAACTGATGTTTCTTCCTCCCTCGTGCTGCAAGGCTGCTTTTAAAACGGGCGCCAGCATTCATTCCAGGCCAAACATTAAGTTGATAGATGGTTGTGCTGTACCCAGATGTTTCTGTACTCTGCTTTTTGTGGTTCTCACATGAATTTATCTTGGATTGTTCTCCCTATCTGAAAGTAATAAGTTGAGGCATGCAAATTGGTGATAAAATAGCATCACATATCTTGTGCAGATGTCCCTGGACAGAGAGAGCACAAGGTGCACGCAGACTGGATGCTGGCGCATCCCAAAGCGGTACACAGTTGGCCCTGTACCTGAGTTTACATAAATGAAAAAATTTGAGTGCCAAACAAGTAAATATTTTTCAATATTTGACTGCCATATCTTAACCACCAGCTGCAAATGCTTTGCTGTGTTTATATATAGATAGGATTTCCCTTGCTTCTCTCTCTTTGCCATTGGGAAGAGTTCCCCAGGGCTGGAAAGCAAAGCACAAACTGTTTGCTAATGGTTCTTAATGCTTTCCCACTGGAGATCCAGGACACTTAACAGTGTTAAAAATAGGTTAGAAGAGGGATAAGTAGCGAAAGCGTTAGTCAGTCCTAAAAACCTCTCTGGTGCAGAGGTTACAGCAATGTTCCCGGTCCTCAGCGCGGAGAAAGCAGCAAGTTTTGTCTCTGAAGGAGAGCAGAGCCGAGGCAGTGTTGGAGGGCAGCTCCCCGCGCACGGTGGGAAACCCCACGCTGTGTCGGGAAAGGAGGATACCCCGATAGCCGGGGTACCGCGAAGGAGCAGGGAGCTGAGGGATGAGCCCAAGGGTGAGCTCACGGGGGAGAGGCCGTGAACTTCAGCCACGCTCGCAGGAGCTCTCGTGCGTGCTGCCGGTCGCAGAACAGCGGTCCGGGTATGTCTGCCGCCTGACTGTGAGCACCCTGGGCTTTGAATCGTCGCTGTTTCTTCAGTGGGTCACGAAGGGCACGAACGAATTATTAAATCTTAAAATTGCAGGTGAAAGAGCACAAAAATATAGTGACTTAAACCTACTCTTGTTACAGCTTGCTTGTGTCTCTGATCTTTGTGAAGTGTTTTCTGGTGGCTGCTACGAATGATTTTTAAAGGGCAACTAAGAGGCCTGAGCTTAAACTTCCATATGGAGAGAAGTTCTGCAGGCAGATAATGGCAACATCACAGTCTATTTGGGAGGCTGGATGGGGAGAAATTTGTTCTAAATTAAAATTCAACATGTCAAGTATGGAGAAAGTACTGATGAGAGTCCTGTGTCTGGCTCTGACCTTTCAGTAGCTGCTGCACTGTTGCTCCTCAGAGAAAAGCATTGCTCTTCTTGTGGCCTGCTCTGCAATCTATTTAGAAACATGCTATTAAAAGCACTAATTCCATTTTGAATTTCCATTTTTTCCGACCTTTTCAGTCTCCTGCTTCTTCAGCATCCTCCATCCCCACTGGCTTTGTGTCTCTTCTGGAAATTATTGATGATCTTTTTTAATGGCCTAGACAATGCTAAAAGCCGTTCCTCGGCATTTTAGAAGCTTCCAAGAGTGAAAAAAGATTATACTTTTTAAAATATCTGAAAATTACCAGCAGGGGTCGGGCTTACAAATAATTTAAGCAATTGAAGCTGCATATTTTTAAAGGAGACATTTCTGTGCTGAACATGTTGTAGATCAACTGACTTCTAAGGAAAAGTTTGTAACTTTTGCCCAGTGAATAGGAGAGATGACTTCGTTGTACCTGAAATTTCTGTTGCGTAATTTTGGGATATTGGCAGGCGGGTGCTTTCTTTATTGTCACGGCACAAGGATTTTCAGCTTAATATAGATCATTTAATAGTTAGTATTATCAAGCAAGATAATTAATTTTAAAAAAATATTCTGGAAAAGGATCCTGAGAAAATTGAATTGAAAGATCGATGTTAATATGCAGTAGTTGCACAGTTAATCCCAGGAAGTTAATGTGAAAGGTGAGTTTCTTGAAGCAGCATTAAGGGGTTTGTACTCTGTACTTAAATGCAAGCAAAAATGTTCTATCGAATGTTTTGTAATAATATCCCCTGCCTAACAAGTTTGATAGAGTTCTCTGAAGGATTCAACAATCATTTGGCTAAGGCTAATATGGTTGATATAATACATTTGACCTTTCAAAAAGCTTTGAGCCAAAGGTCACAAAGAAACTTCACTCTGATGGAATAAGAAAGAAGGTTCTTTCTTGGATTAATAAGAATATAAAAATCACAGAGGGCTGGCTGGTCCCTGTGTACTGTCTGCTGGGATGGCTGGTGGTGGATGACCATGCAAATAGGGCAAAGCTACTGGGGTACTTTGCCAGAAGGCTCTCCTAGCTTCTAGTGCCTTGTCTCCAGGATTTCTGGAGCCAGAGATAATATAACGTCTTTCTACTTTGTAAACCTTGATGCATTTTTGTTCCATTAATTTCCATATGTAATACAAATTTAAAAGATGGAAAATCAAAGAATAAATGTTTTCTCAATACCAAGGGTTTTCCACTAGGTCCTAGAGTGGTTTTTATTGGGAACTTGTTGTCCAATGCAAAGAGGTGTTTGTGAGTAGTGAGGTGACAGAATTTGAGGTAATATGAAATTATTCAGCTTATCAGACTGTTCAGAGTTTCAGAAGAATCTTAGGCTGCTCAAGATGGGAAATGAAGTTGTACGTCAATAACTGCAAAACCCGTGTACATAAGAAAAAATGCCTTTACTTTTACTCCCACAATAGTGGGCTCTAAATGAGCTGTTATCACTCAAGAAAGAGATCTTACATTATTGTGAACAGTTTTCTAAAAATGTCAGGTAAGTGCTCCTCAGTTAAAAAGACAAATAGAATACTAGGAATTATTGGAAAAGAAGTTGAGAACAAACCAGAAAGCCTCATTATACCACTGAATACATCTGAGTACTGTTTCTAGTTCTAGCTTTTCTCATAGCAAAAAGTCTATATAAAACTTGAAGAAGAACAAGGAAAGGCAATAAAGATGAGCAGAAATATGGAAAATCCTTGATGTGAGGAAAGACTAAATTGAGATTCTTCAGGAAATAATAGAGGAGGCCTGTAAAGTGGTATGGAGAGGGGAGTATGGTACACTTATTCACAACTTTTCATAGCAGAACTAACAGGCCCTCAGTGAAATAATCACATGTGAAGTATAAACCAAAATGAACTAATTTTTCATACAGCGCATAATTAAGTTGTGGAACTTACTGCCAAGGAGTATTGTGAAGGCCAAAAGTATAAATCAGATCAAAAAGAGATTTGATGCGCTCATGGAGATTTTAGCTGTTGGTGGTCATTAAACATGATCGTCTAGACTCAGTCTGTGGTTCAAGAAGTATCTAAGTTGGATTTGCTTTATATTGAAGTTGTCTATTTTTAATATACTTTTACAAATTATATTTTCATCATACAAACTTGTATCTTTTAGTCATGTTTTAACTGCTTCAGTAGTGCGGCTTTGTGGTACCAAATACAGGAATAATCTGATACTGCTTGTGATTTCATGTTTTACTTGATTATTTGTGGTGGGACTGTGCAGGGACACAGTGTCTATTAACTTCCCCTTCTTCTCCAGGCTGAAAATTGAGGAGCTGGAAGCTGAACGCAGCAAGCTGGAAGAGGAGAACAGATCTCTGGAAATGAAACTGGAGAAGCTAACTCTGCAGGTAGGAAATGTGGAGGTCCAGAGCAGCTGGAGAGCCTGATGTGGTCCATTCACCATAGCTCTTCTAACAGATGTGCCAGAATGCTCACGGCATGCAACTTCACTTCCCTCAATCTGGGCAAGGCATTTCTCAGAAGCCTGTGCAAACTGCACCAACACACCTGTATCTCTGACTGTGTTATTGGAGTGTTTTGATGTCAGGTGCAATCACACAAATGCAGTTGTCTTTTTCAGTGCCTTTGCCTAGAACCTCTTCTTTTTCTTCTTGGAGCCTTAAAAACTGTTCCATTTGAAATAACTCCACTACCATCAGTTGTCCGTCTCCAAATTCATTTGTGCCAAAGTGGACATGCAGACAAGGCTTAACAGCACGGAGCTGATATGAAAATTTAAGCTCCATTCGTACTGAAGACTCCACTGCTGCTATCAGCGATGGAGACCACCAGTTTGTGGCCTCATTAGGTAGTAGTTTTCTAAGCCAGGAAGCATCAGTGCTATTGAGAGGACGACACGGCAGCATGTCCAGGCCACAGAGATGGAACACAGAAGGAGTGGAGTCAGGACAAAAGGGTGTGTTTCTTCTGCTGTGCTGCTGTGGGTGTTTTACCTTTTCCTGAGGTAGTGCTGTCCTATATGGCAGAAGGTCTTCAGCTTCTCACTCTGGATAGATCTGTGAAGTCTCACCCTCCTTGAAGGAGGGCAAGGGCACCTGCAGCAGTTGAGGGGACTGTCTATTCAGCTTGCTTTCCTTCTGGGAACAGCTTGCCTGTGCAGAGGAGGGGCATGGGAGTTGCTTCAAGCTTTTATAGTGTTCCCTGTTTGAAAGGTGCTGGAGCAAACAAGAACCTGAGCCTGTTTGTTTAATCAAAGCCCATCCTGCTATGAACAGTGTTATCTCTCCCTTCTGTTCTCTCTGATATGTGGAAGAATTTGGCATTGTAGCATTTCATTCTCTTAATTTTTCTTTCCTTCTCTCTTCTTTTTTTTCCATTTTTGTGTAAATTGCTTCATGGTAGAAAACCTGCAGGTTTGAAATTACCCAGATTTCAGACAGACCATTGATTTTATCTTGACACCTATTAGAGGCGAATCAAATCTTTTTTTTTTTTATTACCAATTCCTAGAGACAGGGGAAGTGACAGCTTTGATAAAGCAGGGAGCTAAGAGCTGCTGAGCATCTCTGCTGAGCCATGTTTAGTGTGAAACCTGTCACCCGGCTCTCCTTTAATTGGTTTTCAGTCATCAGAAGGAGATGAAAGCTTTGGGCTGCTGTTTGGATGCTTAGGTCTCCAACAAGCACAACAGCAGCTTTGGTTTCAGAGCAGATTACAACTCACTCAGGTCACATTTAATGTGCCAACATTGCCTTACAATGGGTGTTGGCTTTCCAAGAAGGCCTGACCGGAGGAATTCCCTATTTTCTTTGTGATATCTCAAGATGCTCTGCTTTGTTTGCTCATACTGCTCTTGAGATGCCAAAACACCAAGTTTTTTAAATTGCACGTTCAAAGAGGAAAGGTCTGAAGTCTTCAGTGTAGTTTTGCTAATTGTCTGTCTTCTCGACCTCAGTAGATGAGATCAGCAGCAGCTGCCATTTGGATAGCTGAGCTTTCACAGTACAGAAAAGTAATGTGGTGATAGGAACAAGATGGAACCTTCATACTGTGGTAAAGCTACTATACAATAACAGTTGTACTGTTCACAAAAAAGGCTTTGAAAGCTTGTCACAGGATCCCCATGACCTGTCTCATTAATGGTGCTCGCTGTTTGAATGCAATATTTTGCAGGTCAGGGCTTTGTGGAAGGAGTGGGGGAGAACAGGAATGACCTGCAGATAGAGCAGAGTAAAAATTGTATGGGAGGGATGAGATAACATGTAGGTGTGGAAAAAGAGAAGGTGGTCACCTGGCTTAGCGGGTCTAGGAAAGGGAAATTTGCCAGTCCCCCAAGAGGCTAGTTAGTGAGCTGAATTAAGGTAATCGTGCTCTTGCATCTGCTTTGCCAAGGCTGAGGACATGGCATTAATTCTTTATTTAACAGGAGGTAGCTCCCACCTTCCTTAGCTTCTCACTTTATTTGTGTCTTAGAAGACTGGATGCCAAAAGCACCTTCTCTGAAAGAGGAGGAGTATAGAGGACAGCATAAATAGAGGAATATATAAGCTGAATACTGAAATGTCAGTATTGATCAGTGTGTGCCTACCTGAGTGGTCAAGATTTGAGAACTCCTCAGAGGGGAAAACATCAGCCTTCCCATTTTTATTCACCTTGAGAATCAAATATCTTGACTGGCCAAGCTTAGAATGACTTTTTTTATAAACACATTGGAAGAAGGTTCCTTACAGTGGGAACCCACTAAGTTAAGGATAAGCTTAGAAATTCACCTTTTCTATCAGTACTGAGAAAATACACTGAAAATATTATTGTACACTCAGATAAGGTCACTGAAATGTTGCTAGTTTGACATGTTATTTATTCCCATCTCTGAAAGAAATCACTGGGAAATGATGGGTTAAAATAACATCTCTTTATCACAAAGGGAAAAAAGGCAAGACAAACTTCATATACAGAAATCACAAGAAAATTTTACTGAGGAGAAAGATGATTGAAATTACAAACATGGGAAAAGCATGGCATCAAATGAAACAAAAGTGTAAGAGAAAGTAGGGGGTGACATTGAACAAGGTAGGATGAGGGCAATTTCTGACAAATCTTAATCTGCAGTTTCTTCTTTTTTAAAATAAAATCTCTGACGTTCTGGAATTGTATCTACCAAATGAAAGATACATAGAAGGGGTGTATTAAAGTTGTGAATTTGGAAGAGGAAGAGGCAGGATGTAGAATTAAGGCTTTGACTGCTTTACACTGGACTGAAGTCTGTTGAGTTCACAAAGCTCGTGCAGTGAATGTAATCTAGGGAGATACGGCTAATATTTGGTAATTAAAACCGTCAATGTTTGACTGGATTGATGTGTGGAAAGGAGTAAAGTTTCAAAAATGTTTGCCTCCTCTCGCATCCTTTTGTATCTGAGTATTGGCACATGAATTTTGCTCATTTCTGCTGTGGCTGCTGATAACAATAGCCCACTTTGTGAACTACAGGACCCTGATGGACCGGCCAGAGGGCAAGCGAGCAAGTGGAAATGTACTTTTGTGTTAGTTGTGTGATTCACGCTCCCTGAGCTCAGTATTAGCAAATAAAGAAACTGAGATACTGATAGCTATCCGCAGCAGTGTATGTAACATCTGACATCTCTTTGTATTCTGTGCTTGTGTGGGGACAGCTTGAATTATGGCTGAAGGTGCTTTCCACCTCCACACACCCCTTTTTCCAAAACCCCTTGGCTCTTGACACCAAGCTGCAGGCTGCATTGATTTTCCTTCACTGGTATAAAGACTTTAGCATGGATATTACTCACTGGTCAGGTCTTTACTGCTAATAAAAACCTCAGATTACAAAAACACAAGAAATGTTGGAACTGTAGAGAAATGACACCATGCTGAGAGTGCCTCCCCATTGCCCAGGACATTATCTTAAGAAAAACATTTGAACTGTGGCTCAGGAGAGGGATTCAAATAATATATGAAAAGAGTGGGTTTAACCAGACAGTTTTATCTCCTCTCCCTTACCCTTCTTTCTTTCGATGAGGCAAAAAAGACTTCCAGGAAGGCAAATGTATGGTGGGCAGACTTGCTGAGATTTCAGTTGAAAGGTTTGGTTTGTTTAGTTATCTGAAATGATCTGGACCATCTTCCCGAGCTGGTGGTGGAAAAGTGCAACTCCATGCCAGGAACAAAAGAGACTGATCAAATCAGTGCTTTTCGGATAAAGTGGGAGGAAAGACTTGTGAGGAGTGTTCAATTAGCATTTCTTACTGCTAGGAGCCTTGTGTTTACAGGCAACCAAGCGGATGTGAAGTGTTCCTTATGCAAATACTACTCTCCTGCTTTTCCTGCTCTCCTCTACTCTTCGAGCTGAAGGAGAAGAGATTCTTCAAGTTTGGCTGCTTCAAGGAAGATTGATTAAAATCAGCTGCAGTTTGACTTAATTGGATCCATTTGCTTGGAGAGGGAGCAGGACTAGTTAGAAGTCCTTGTAATTAGTTCACAGCTGGTTGGTGAGGAAAATGAAACTCCAGTTAGAGTTCAGATAAGTGGATCTGTATGGATAAAAGGCAGGGAGATGTTTTTTTACAGTGAGATGTATTTGGGCTTGAAAATTGCCTCTAGTCCCATAGCCAAGGTAGCAGCCTAAGCCCTTTGAGCGTGTCCATGTGTATTTATGAGGCTAAATGGAAGGAGTCTTTATTTTCTTGCTTGTTTCTGAGTAAAAGGAATAACCTGTGGATGCTGGCAGTCAAGGAAACCTGAACAGGGTTACAGAAAGCTGGGAGAGGATCTCGGGGACTAGGTGAAACACTACCAGGGCGGTTTGGCTGGGTGAAAGGTTCATGGTTTGGCACAAACTCTGAACTGATCAACTTTGAGTCCAATGCCCCCGGTCGCGGTAGTAACTAGTTGTGTTTAGCCCTTCTGCCGGTCAGTAATATGACAGCAACACTCATAAAAATGCAATATTATGCATACATATTGAAATAATTGATTTTTGCCCATTATCTCAAAGACCTCAGAAAGAGTTGACTAGCTACATAGTACGGGGACAGTCATCAGAAAACTCTCCCCAGCCAGAAGCTGGTATTTATGCTAAATTTTGCTGTCAGAATAGAAAGGACTAAATTCCCTGTTACAGTGTCCATGAGGGAAGTGCCTGAGAAAAGCATACTCTACAAAGTATTTGGGGGTATTTTTTCGTGCTGGCATGACTTTATTCATGTGTTTTGAGGCATTCATTAATGCACGTGCAAGTTCCTTTCTAAATATCTAACTTTGCTATTGTTATCGTCCATTTTACATTTTAAGATATTAATCTGGTTAAATCTTAGTTTCTTCCAGGCTTTAAATTGATTATTTTTGTACAAATTAAAGCATAAACCACTTGTCC